GTTCCTCGCCGGTTCCTGGCTGCTTCCTCGCCGGTTCCTCGCCGGTTCCTGGCTGCTTCCTCGATGTTTCCTGACTGCTTCCTGATTGGTTCCTGACTGCTTCCTGCTGCGTTCTGATCATCTCTTCCTGTTTCCTGTCCATCGGCCTCCCTGAGTCCAGAGACGTGTTTGGTTCCAGAACCAACTGATCCGTCATTCTTCTTCTCCTCTGCAGGCTGCGAGCTCTATGCATTCTGCGGCGCCCTCTTCGGGATCTGCTCCATGATCACGCTGATGGTGATCGCCATTGACCGTTACTTCGTCATCACGCGCCCTCTGACCTCCATCGGCGCGTTGTCACGGAAACGGGCGCTCCTCATCCTGCTGGCGGTGTGGGCGTATTCGCTGGGCTGGAGCCTGCCGCCGTTTTTCGGCTGGAGTGAGAACACACAATGACGTCATCATGACGATGATGTCATCACGACTCGGCCTGTCACTAGACGATAAATCGTCCCAGAAGTTTTTGTGATAAATGTTGTTTTTAGACCTGTTTGCAGTAATATGATAATGACAAAATAATGAAAGGTCCGATTCTGAAAGATGAATAAACTTTATATTGTAATGAATATTTAACTCTGGAAGTGGAGGACATTTTAAATATCTAAAATAAAGAAAACAAGAAGAAACGGCAAATCAAATAATGAAAGCTCTGGAAACAAAGTTATCCTAAGATGCTGGTTGAGCTGATGTGACTCCCTCCCTGGCCCTCTCCAGGTGCCTACGTACCTGAAGGCCTCCTCACTTCCTGTACCTGGGACTACATGACCTTTACCCCCTCGGTGCGGGCCTACACCATGCTGCTCTTCATATTCGTCTTCTTCCTGCCGCTCTTCATCATCATCTACTGCTACGTCTTCATCTTCAGAGCCATCCGCTCCACCAACCGGTCGGTCCCGGTTCTGTTCAGGTGCTGTGGGGCTGGAGACCCGGCGACCCACCGTGTGTGTGTGTGTGCAGGGCGGTGGGGAAGCTCAGCAGCTCTCGGGACGCGGTGAAAAGTTTCCACCGGCTGCAGAACGAGTGGAAGATGGCGAAGATTGCTCTGATCGTCATCCTGCTGTACGTCGTGTCCTGGTCGCCGTACTCCGCCGTCGCCCTCACCGCCTTCGCAGGGTAGGACACACACACACACACACACACACACAGCTCTGTGGAGGAATACCTGTATGTTTTAATTAATCATCATATTTGTGATCATTTTAAGAAACATCTGAAATCAAGCTTGAGGAAAAGTGAAGAGGTTTATACAGTTTCTATCTAAGGCCAAAGCAGTGATAGTAAAGTCTTCTGGTCAGTTTTCAGGTAAGAAAGTAAAGATTTCCATAGCAAATTAGAGACTTAACAAACCGGGACCCTGTCATGAGCCCAGCTGGTCAAACATCATCTGGTGACATTTAATAAAAGCCATCAGCATTGTTACTCTGTGACCCGGTCTGAGGAGTACGGTCAAATACTCAGACTCTGAGAAAATTGAGTCACAGTAGAAGAAGATGATGAGGGTTAAGCAGGTTTGCTTTGGGTTTTGATTTAACACAATCAACACCAGGACTATTAGGGTAATTTAATAAAAAAATAGAAAAACAGAACAATAACTAAACCAAACTGAATAATAAATATGTACATTTTACATTTAAGATGAAAAAAATCTTCTTGGTGTTTATATTTTTTCCACCAAACTCCCAGTTCAGTTTTCGCTTCACCTGCTTCATTCTGGAAGAATCTCCTGTTAATCACATTTTTCTATTCAGTCATTAATCTATAATTAATCACCAGATCGGCCCTGCGCTGCATTAATGTTCAGTCCAGCAGAAGGCCTGAGCTTCAGGAGGATTTTAGCTGCAGATGCAGCTTTTACTACAAAAGATCAAACTTTCACGAGAAATGAGTGGATTACTGGGAAAAAAACTTAGATCAAGTAAAATCCTCCTCTTTTGACAAGCTGAGGGCGCTCTTTAAGAACTGCTACTTTATTGGAACCAAACATTCACCAAACCGTGGGTTTGTCAGGTTGGTGCCTGACAGACACAGCTGAGGGCTTAACGAGGCATTGTGATTGGTGCCTGACAGACACAGCTGAGGGCTTAACGAGGCGTTCTGATTGGCTCTGCTTCAGGTACGCGGACATGTTGACCCCCTACATGAACTCTGTCCCCGCTGTCATCGCCAAGGCCTCCGCCATCCACAACCCCATCATCTACGCCATCACACACCCGAAGTACAGGTGAGACCCGCTGGGCCAGCAGGGCGGCGCCACGCACCATTAGCATGTAGCGATTAGCTGGGTTAGCATAATTATCACTCCAATAAATTTACATTCGAAACTCTGATCCATTTTAAATTCTTTGACATTTTTCTTTAAACACAAGTTGTATTTTAAATCTACAGTGTTGTTGGTGGCCCCCTGCTGGCCTGGAGGCCCTGAGACAGGGGTGTCCAAAGTGTGGCTCGGGGGCCATTTGGGGCCCTTTGAGTGATTTGTTCTGGCCCCCATAAGCAATTCAAGAAATTTGTTGATTAAACTTTTTGTTTTTAATCTGGGTAAAATTATTACCAAGATAATTTTCCTACAATGCAAAATACAAAGTACAACAGAAATAATTAACATAATTAACTGTTTATATTCAGGGTCTTATAACACGTTTATCCAGAAAGTTTTACTAGAAAATGATTTTGCTGCACCCAGATCAGCTTTTATTTTATTTACTTAACTTGTCTAAATATAACCAACGATCCAAATCTTGTTTAATAACTGGAAATAAATTTGTTCACTAAATCTAAAATAATTTGAAAAATAGGAACATTTTTAATGCATAAAATAAATTATTTTATTTATTTTTCCTTGGCCCACCTGTACTTTGACTAGACCGTTTTGGCCCACATGACAAAAAGTTTGTACACCCCACCTAAGAAGCAGCTCGGTTTGATTCTTTTTTCTCTACTTATTTTATTACAGTGTCGTCTTTACAACAAGAATCTTAATTATTTAATATTTATTTCATTGTAAAAATGTGTTAAATCTGTAAAACTCCCCCTGAATCGCCCATAAAGCACAACACACTCCTTGTTGACTTAATTATTAAATAATTGAGTTGGTTTTGTGTGAATGTTGACCCGTTTCAGACGCCGGGTCTGGTGCTGCGGTTCAGAGTGGGGGGATAAACAGGAAGTGGGTCAGATGATACTCCAGATGGACGCGGTGAAGCGGCGGCTGATCGGATCGATCAGGACGTTAATCTGGATGAAACCTGAATCATCCTAATGGCTGCTAACTGGAGCGCATGAATTAAACTCACAGGATGAGTTTTTACAGCGCTCAGGTTAATGGCCCTGATCCATGTGGTGGCGCCCCCTGCTGGTCGGACCTGGTGTTGTTAGTGGCTCAGAGTTTCGTCTTCTGTGGTTCCAGGCTGGCTCTGGCCAAGTACGTCCCGTGTCTGGGCGCGCTGCTGTGCGTTCGTCTGCGTGACCTTCGCTCCTCCAGCAGCAGCTTCCTGTCGACGCGCCGCTCCACCGTCACCAGTCAGAGCTCCGACATCAGCAGCCAATACCGGCACGGTGCCGCCAAGTCCCGCCTCTCCTCCGCCTCCGACAGCGAATCGGTGAGATTAGCGCTGAGTGTTTCCTCTGCAGACAGGAAGTAGTGCTGAGCGTTTCCTCTGCAGACAGGAAGTAGTGCTGAGCGTTTCCTCTGCAGACAGGAAGCGGCGCCGAGCGTTTCCTCTGCAGACAGGAAGCGGCGCTGAGTGTTAGCGTTCCCGTTGCAGGGTCTGACGGACACGGAGGCCGACCTGTCCAGCCTGGGCTCGCGGCCGGCGAGTCGCCAGGTTTCCTGTGACATCAGCAGAGACACCGCCGAGCCGCCGGGCGGAAAACAGTCGACCAGCTTCAAGGCCAAGCTGAGGAACCACGACTCAGGAATCTTTGAAAAGGTAAAATGCCTGATCTGGATCTGGAGTAGATCTGGATCTGGCTTCACATCAGATTTGTTTCGTCTGAACTATGTAACGGCGCCGTCTCCTGCTGTGGGACGTCTGGAGGGATGTTGTCCTTCAGGACACCAACCTGGACCTAAGAGGACGCTCGTCTCCTGCAGAACCTCCTGGTTCCGGCTCTCTGGTGGATCTGGACCTGTTCCAGTTCGTCCTTCTGGACTTCAGAGACTCTGTCCTCTGTCTCTGGTTTGTCCCAGACTGTCCAGCTGACATCTCGTCTCTTTGTCTCCTCCAGTCGTCGTTTGACACCATGTCCATGGGAGGAGTCAGTGAACGCAGCAGCGTCCCAAATGTGAGTGGAGACGACCGTCCGCTACTTCTGTATGTCCTCCATGTTGTCCCCCTGCTGACCTCTATGTCCCTGCCTCCCTGGACAGAGTGGGGACGCCTCAGAGGGACAGCTGATGAGGGGACAGATCGGCCGGATCCCCAGCATCGTCATCACCTCAGAGACCAGCCCCTTCCTGTCCATCGGCCGGAGCGGGTCGCGGACGTCTGGGCCCAAAGCGTCGGGCGGCATCCTGGGGGCGGGGCCAGGGTAGAGCCCCGCCCCCCAGTCATGTGACCGGCTCAGATCCAAGCAGATGAAACCAGAGTTTAGAAATGATTCACAGGTCAACAAGAGATCTGTTGACCTGAACTAAATAATATCAGACAGTCATTTTGTTTCCATCAAATAAACATCACAGGATGATGTTGGATCTGTTTTAACCAAAGATCTGATTCCAGGTTTTAAAGTTTTTGATGTGAAAGTAATAAAACTAAACAAACTGCAGTGGTGGGCGCTAATCTGCTAATCTACCAGTAGCTGAGTTAATGTTTTGTTTAGCGCTTTAATGTTAGCTTCCACTAGCTGCTGTATTGTAATTGAACTTTAGCATTAATGGAACTAACAGTCATGGTTAGTGCATTAGCATTAGCAAAGCTAATGCTTGTGGTTAGCATGTTAGCATTAGCTGAACTCATGTTTATGATTAGCGTTTTAGCATTAATGGAACTAATATAAATGGTTGGTGCATTAGCATTAGCACAGCTGACCTGTTAGCTAGCAGTGCCCACCGCTGCTGAGCTGTCAGTAAATCAAGTTCAGCTTTAAACGATTTATTCCAGATTCAGACAGAAACACGTCGGGACAGAATCCGGATCGGGATTAACTGAGCCGGTGAGGCAGCAGAACCAGCTGGACGGTTCTGATGAGATTTATCTGCCAATCTGATCAGAAAACATCTGCATACCTGTACAAGTGTCCTCTGCTCCGATTGGTTGGTTCCGACTGAACCACTCCCAGTTGACCCCAAAGAGAACCGGTCCGGGGTCGGGTTCTCATGGTTTGTTCCCCTGAGGGGAGGAAACCAGATGTTCATGTTTGTTGTGTGTTTTTGGGATGTTTTTCCTGTTTGTTTTTATTGTTCTGAATGTTTAAATGTTTTCTGGTTCTGGAACCCAAAGCCGGTTCAGCTGAACTGGAACAGAACCCCTTCCTGAAGCTGATTGGTTCCAGACCACATGATGTCACTGTGCGGTTTGGGCTCCAGGTGAACGACCTTTGACCCCGTTTGGGTCAGGATGTTCCGGTCCAGCCTCTGATCTGCTGCTTTGTGTGAAGTGGAGCTGGAATGTTTCTCTGCTCTTTGTTTGCTGGACGGTTTTTGTTTGGTCAGTAAAACTGGACCAGAACCTCCTACTGAACCCGGCTGCCAGAACAGAACCTTCAGTCCAGAACCTTTGAGTGGTTCTGTCACTTTAGATCCTCCCAGACCTGCAGAGTAAATATTGTTTGTGATCCTGAAGCTGTAAATGTTGAGTATTTATGCCGACCCGTGTTGACCCGGTTTATTTTTCTAAATAAAGATCTGTTCTCCAGCCCAGCCGCTCCGTCTGGTTCTGTTCTAGAAACATCAGTGATGCTCTGCAGCTCAGATTATAATCTGAGAAAAAAAAAAAATCAAAGAATCAGGAATGTCTCCAGTCCAGATCTCCTGGATCCTTCAGATCAGATCCAGGTTTTCATCTCATCACCGGATCTAAAATATTCTGGTTCTCCAGAACTCGTCTGCTCAGTGTCTATAAACTGGCTGTAATCGATGCTGACCTGCTGTTGGCAGAAAAATGGATGCAACTGTTTGGCTGAAGGCCGAGGATCTCCGTTTCCATGGCGATGATCTGCACAGCAACGCCACCAGGACGTTCAGTTGGCTCACAAACATCAGAACAGGAAGCCCATGATTTTGACTGACATGAAATCCAAACTGAATATTTAAGATCTTTGCATAACTTAATCAAAAATAAAGAAAATGTATTTCAGAAATCTTCATTGTACTTATTCAAATAAGCAATTTATTGGTAAAATTATTACTTAAAGATGGATCAAAAAACAATGGAGAGTGAAGAGTTTTAATGAATTATTGACACCAATAATTTTCTTTCTATCTATCTATCTATCTATCTATCTATCTATCTATCTATCTATCTATCTATCTATCTATCTATCTATCTATCTATCTATCTACCTAAAGCTATATTAAGAATAAACTAGGGATGATATACATCGTGTATTAACGTTAGCTTTTGCAGAGGTTGAGAAACGGACTGTTGTTTTTCATTTATGCCGGTTTCACGTTGCATTTGGACTGGAGACTCAGATCTGCCAATCATTTCGAACGGCGCCATGTTTGTTATTTATGAGCGTGAGGCGCATGCGCTGTGCTGGATAGCGGCATGGCGCAGCTTCGACATCATCGTTTTAAAAAAGAGGCGGCTCGTACCTGGCCACACGGAGACAGGCGGTCTGATGTTCGTCCACTCTGAAGTAAAAACTGGATGTTTCTGGTCTCCCAAGACGCCGAGTGAACGGCCAGCATAAATGACTCAGAACTTTTATGATTATCCTGAAATCATCTCCGTTTTGACGGAGACCTGCTAGTTTGTCGTCTCGTACTTGACCTGCTGCAGATGTGAGGGCGTTTGTTTTTCGGTAGGTTATTTATCTAAGTTGCTTGTTTTTTACATTATGAAGTTATGAAACCACTTTTGTGTTTGAACAGCAGCAGAAGAGGAGCGACCGACCACAGCGTCTCAGCGCGGTCTGTTTGGCTGCTGGCTTCCCTGAAATATCTGAGAAGAAAAAATGGCATCTGGAGGTAGCAGCAGATCGATTATGGATATTAAGGCGATCTACAATGAAGCTGAGGATCCTTCAAGCTGCCAGGGGATCCACCCGACCTATCAGTGGTTGGTTTGGTCAAGCAACTGTTCCGATGGTGGGTTCAGAAGACTTCTCAAAGTAAGAGCTGCTGCTGGTTTAATGCTATGCTAATGCTGTTGTAGAAGGCCTAAGTTAGGCCTCCTCCTGATTCTCTGTTGAGAGTCGATGAGCTGAGAAGGATCCTGCTGTTGAAAATCCTTCTGTCTGGGTTTTCTGCTGTTGGAGCTGCTGTGGTCATGTGACCTGTGGAGGTTTAGGTTTAACCAGCATGATGGAGTCTGAAGGTCATGGATGGAAATCAGTTGAAATGAGAAAGAAAGATGGCTGCTAAGGCTTTGGTGAATATCACTGTAATAAACCTAGATAACATACATTATTAGTAGTGATTTAATGTGGCTATATTAACATAGCTGCATTAACATATTTATTTTTATGAATATTATCAAAGATGCTTGTGTGTTAAAATAAGCAGCAGGGCCGAGCGCAAATCGTGACACCGCACCTACTAATGGCACTTCCGGTGGCAGGTGTGACACCTGCCACAAGTGCCACTGTTTTCGGGACTAGCTGTCAGTGTTGCCACTGACTTCGGCAAATGGACTACATATCCCATGATGCTTTATT